GGGCAGTGACAGCGGAGGAGCCGCCGCGCACGCAGCCTGGCAGGGCTCCGGCTCGGTGCACAGCCCGCGCGGGACGGGACGGACGGGCCGGGCTGGGCCCCGGGAGGTGCGGGGGACCCCGAACCCCAGATTCCGGGGCTCCGGCCACACAGGCTGGGGGAGTCGGGGAGGGGCCGGGGACCCGCTCAGGGGTGAGGGCGGCGGTCCCCCGGGTCCCCGGGGTCGCGCTCGCGGAAACTGAGCACCGAGCGCCGAGCACCCCGGGCGCGCGGGCCGCGGGACTCACCGCGCTGGCTGCGGCGGCGGTGGACGACGCAGGGCCGGGCGCGTCCTGCCTCCTCAGGCGGGACTTGAGGCTCTTCATGGCTGCTCAGCAGCCCGGCTCCCGGAGGGAGGGAGGCGCGCCGGGCCCGCGCGCAAACCTCCAAGTCTGCGGGCTGCGGGCGCGGACGCGGCGCAGGAGGAGTAGACCGCGGGGGCGGCGCCCACAGCGCCAGCCCCACCTGCCACCTGGGGCCGGCGGCCGACGCTCCGCGCCCGAGGGGGTCCCTCCCGCAGCCAATCGGAGCGCCGCCTGGCCGGAGGCGGGGCCTACTCTGACCAATCGGAATCCGGGAAGGGGGCGGGACTTCCCCTTTAAACTGAATAACCCTCTTCCTCCCAGCGGGAGAAGCTGGGATGTTCGGCTGGGACGGCTGAGTAAGTCCTCCGCCGGGCTCCAGGCCCCTGACCCTCTACCCGGCTGCTGGAGCTTAGCGTCCACAGACACCGAGGTCCTGCTGCGGTGAGCTCTCCTCTCCCCGGACCCGCCCCCTCTTCCCACGCACGTGTTCTCTCCGGAGTAAAGTTCTCTTCCTTCCGCGGGTCCCAGAAACGACCCTGGGTCACCTGCACACACACCAGCACGGGAAAGCAGCTCCTTTCTCCCTGATGTTTCACGACACAAAGCCCAGTGTCAGAAATCTGTCAGTCACACGCGTCCAAACGTCCAGAGACAGCCTCTGAGAAGGTCCTGATTGTACAGAAGGACGTGCAATTAGCAACACACTTCCGTAAAGTTAAAGCACATGTTGGGTATGAAATTATTTATTGAATGCAGACTCTGCCGCTTTGGCGGGAAAGGGGTGGGATGGGGCATCGATAAATAAAAGTTGCCCACGTAGCCAGCACAAATAAATGAATTTATATACTTATATATTTTTATACATTTTTATTTATATATATATATATCTGTTCTTACAGAAACACTTTGACACTATAGGAAAAGCATACAATGAATACTATATGCACAGACGAATATGTACATACACATGCACATACACTGTATTTTTTAATTTTTATTTTATAAAGTAGTAAAAAAAGAACAATAGTAAGATATCAACATCACAGAGATAAACAAGACAAAGCAAGAACATTAAAAATGATGCAGGGTTTCAGAACAAAATGATAGGAATTAACAGTGGTTATATTACATATTCTTATCTTCAACTGCATTGCTCAGATTATCAGGTATAAGAATGCAAGATTGATCAAAGCATTAAGGAGAATAAAAAAATTATTACTAAAAAAGACATTACAGACGATACAGAGTTTCACCAGACAAAATGGTAGGAATTCTCAGTTGCTCAGATTAAGTGAAATAAATCGGACCCGTATGTGTAAACATCATATTGCCTCGCTAGTGTAAGAACCTGAAAGAGTAAATAAAACCCAAACTGAAAGAGAAAGAAATTGTTCAAAGGAAGGAACAACTGGGATGAGGGAAAGAAGAAAAAGAAGGAAGGCAAGATATATAGATATATACACAGACAGAGAGATATGTATGGATAGCTGTATTGCTCGTGTCTGGTGGTTTATTGAAAAGAACAGTTAATGCTTAAAGTTTTTTATATTTTGACCAATTTTGCATGTTTATATCTGGTAATCTGAGCAACTGATTTGAAGACAATCATACACTATATTCTTATAGAAACATAGATAAAAGTATACAATTGATTTATGTAAATCTGGGTTAATGCAAATCATTTAATAGGGAGAGATAAGAGTCAGGTGAGAAACACCCAATAATTTGTTGATAATGTAACAGCTTCAAAAAAGAATCTTCCTTGGAGTCAGTTTTTCCCAGCGAAATGTTTACTCTAGCAGGCACCCATTTGAAAGACAAACAGTCCACGTTGCTAACAAAGGACTCTTTTTGTCCGGAAAGGGCGAATCCTTTCTTTAGAGTTTCCTTAGACTAGCTCCGGGTTTTATTATGATATTGCAAGAGAGTTTTCAGAACTCCTTTGGAGAGACAGTGTTCAAAGACTGTTAATCCTTAACAAAAAGTCACTAATGAGTACTTGAGAAAACTAGTAAATTTTCTCTTGATTAGATCTATGGAAGGATATTTCCTTTGACACTCACTTTTCCTCAAGATCTGTGCCCAGTCAGTTTTTGTTGACTTTTTTTTTTTTTTTTGAGACAGGATCTCACTGTGAGATTCAGCCTGGCCTTGATCTATGTAACCCAGGCCAGCCTGGAACTCTTGGTGATCCTCCTGCTTCAGCCTCCCAAATGCTAAGACTATAGGCATACACCGCCACATCCAGCTCATTGCCTCTCTATTATATCTTCAGATGGCTGTTACTGTCCATCTTCATGGCCATTGCAGAATCTCCAGTCTCTCACTTCTCCTTCTCCGAGGCAGTTCCCATACCCTCTTCTCTCGCCACATTCAAAACTAAAACACGTTACGTAAGGGTGTTTTAAAAAAATAAATAGGTCATCTTTGTCACTAACCATGATCAAAAAGCTACACAAAGTTCTCCTCCTTTGTTCAGCAGAGCTCATGGGAAAAAAAAAAAAAATCCTTCTTTACTTGGTATTTAAGGATCTACAACATGGATCCAACCCTGTTCTCCAACCGTTCCCAGCAAAGTACTCATCAGCCCTTCTTCAGACCTGTGTCCTGACTGATGATTATGCATGCTGATCTTTCCTCTAATAATTTTCTCTCTGTCTAAACTCATACCAGAAAATACTACTGCCCCACAAGTGGTTGGAAGGGGCACAAGAGGCGCACACCATCTTCTGGAGTAACGCACTATGTATGACTATACTTTAATAAAGAAAGGTGTGCTTTTTTTTTAAATAAAGTATACATCCTTTCCAAGTGCCTCCAAGAACCTTCCCTGATCGCTCAACTGCAAGTGATCTCTTTCTCCCCTTCCCCCCAGTCTGCTGAATATTTCTGTTGGAGTAATTACACCTCTCCTTTGATCCTAACACATATGGTCTAACCTCATTAGTCGACTTCAACTCATTAAAATCGAAATAGCTGATGCATGCTGTATTTGAATTTCCTAGAAACACTAGCATGTTATAGGTGTTCAACAAGTATTTCCAGATGGGTCTACACATCCTTTGTGGTTACTAATGTGAATTTAGGTTGTTTGTTCTATGCATTCGTGTGACACTGTGAGGACCCCTTTCTACCATGAACACAGGTGAAATGACCTAGGGCTATGTTGCTGCTCAAATACTTGCCGCTCCATCAGTTCCTTCACTTGGGACTTGAGATAAACCCCTGCTTACCATCTAGTCCCCCAGCTGAATCTTAAATGTGAACTGTCTTCAGTAGCACTGTCTCCCCTGTGTAATTGGCTGTTGAGTTAATTGCAGCCTTATGCTGTCCTAGTGTCTCCTGGAGCATCCAAGTTATCATAGCCCTGGTGACTGGCATCTTTTCAGTTGCTGCTGGAGAAAGCAAACAGACAGAGCCACAAGTATAGCTTGCATCAGGTTCCAAAAATGTTGGGCAAGTTATTTTTATGAACTGTCTGCATGATGTCCCTATGATGTCCGTGTCCACTGGCCCTTGTGGATTTTTCCAGACTAGAAACTTGATAGTCAATGCCTGCTTATTCCCATTTAAGAGCAGCTGAGTAAATAGCACTGGTCTGAATATGCAGTAAAGTTTTCTATATTGATCTGGAAGCCCCTTCTATGAAGTAAATGCACTATTATTAGAGTTCGGCCAGACAGGTTTGATTTGGTTTTGTCCATTATTATCACTGCTTTTTATTTTTACCTTCCCTTTCGAGAAAGAGGCACTTGCCAAACCTAAATGGACTTTTGTTACCTTACTAAATCTACATGAAATATTTTGTTTTGTTTTGTTTCTTATTTTCTATAATAAATACAACCAGGAAAGGTAAGGTATTTTTTAAATTAGTTTATACAGACATATCATTTTTTAAAATGTCAAGTAATACAAAAGGGAACAGTCTCTTCATTATTCCTTTGGCCCCTGGTGCCAGAAACTTGTGTACTGTATAAGGGAACAAAGCCAGCTTAGATAGCCCACTTGGACAACAGCTTACTAACCTGTATAGTAGGAGTGCAGATGTGGGTGGTATTCAAAAAGGGAGAAGATCAGAGATACCTTGGCATAAAGAGGGTATCCCAAGTTCAGGCCCTTGGGTAGACACAGGTTAGAAGTAACACCAGATAGGCAGAGGATCCCGGGAAACCAAACAGAATAGAGAGAAAAACACAATTGGGAAATGTGTTCTGATAACTCAGATGGTACTAATAACAAGATGATTTCTCAAAAGAAGAATAAAGAATGAAGATGACAAGCCTAAAATTTGTACCGAAAATGATTCCTTTCCAAACAGGAAGAACTCTTTCCAAGTAAGCTCGGTTTACGAATTCCATGTCCAGTGACTTCCTGGGGAACCCAACCAATAAAGCCAGTCAACAGTTCCATGGAGGAGTCCAAGACAACCTTCATTCTCTCCTCATTCAGATGCCAAAGCAAATAGCTATGAGAGCCGCATGCAACCACAGAGTCACGAGGAAGAGCACCCCCACACAGAGCTCCTACGGCAGCCCCAGGAATGAGAGACCCGAGGCAGTTCCCATACCCTCTTCTCTCGCCACATTCAAAACTAAAACACGTTACGTAAGGGTGTTTTAAAAAAATAAATAGGTCATCTTTGGCACTAGTTTTAAAATCATCTGTATTTCTAGTAAACTGTCCAATGACTGCATCCTGGAAAACTAGAGCAGGAAGAAAAGAAGTGGGAAGAGGAGATAGCTTCTGTGAATACGACCATAGACCCTTGTGGGAGGGTTACTCAGTACTAAAACCTCTAGGATGTCAATTCCCTCTTACAGAAACAACTTCTTTAATCTCTCCTGTGGAGGGCTGTTTTGTGTTTAGCAATCTTAAATTTACCAGTGATCTCAGCACTTGGGAGGCTGAGGCAGGAGGATCGCTGCAAATTCAAGGCCAGCGTGGGCTACAAAGTAAGTTCAAGGCCAGCCTGAACTGCATATCAAAATACTGTCTCAAAAAGAAAAAAACTCTCTCAAACAAGACTGCTTTCTACCCATGTCCCCATCTTCCTTGACAATTACAAACTGTCATTAGTATAGAACACATGGACGGTGCTGTCAGTTTCAACACAGAGAGAAGGAGCAAAAAAAGCAAGAAGGGTCATGATCACGCACGAGATCAGACTTCCCCAGTATGCTGACCTCGTACCTGAAAGCAGTTGAGATACCGCCATTATTTCTTTGGCTTCAAGTTTAATGCCAAGAAAACCCAACCGGTTACCCTTGGTAAAAATTAACCTTTGTTATCAAGTCTTGATTACGCAAAGCTCAAGAAATACCACTACCTTCCCTTTAATGAGAAGATTGGGCCCTAGGAGCCCATGTTTCAAGGCAGAAGCTCTTGATTACCTTTGAAAACCTGGAGCCTAGATAAACACCAGGAATTTGGTTCAGGGATCAGTAACCATCTGATTCCGTAGGAAACTTTCCTAGACCTTGGAGTTCTCTTATCTTAGTCAGGATAGCAGGGTATGTGTAAACAATGAGCCGAATGACTGTCAAAGCCGAATGACTGTAGAGTAAGTTGAATAGAAAAGCGTCTTAGTTTTGAGTTGAAAGTATTGCAAATAAAGGCTGTCTCTATAGATTTTAAATGATAGCTTTATTTGTCCTGCAGACACTTTCCCTTCCAGCTCTCCAAGGGATTTTTCAAAGTCTTGGCAAAATTTTCAGTAAATACTCTTGACTGAGTGATTTAATTGCGAGTACTTATGTGGCTGGGTCAATGCTTGCAGTTACTCTACGCTGCTCTCTGCCCCTCATCCTACCAAAAAACAAAAACAAAAGCAAAAACACTGCAGGCAGAATAAGTGAAGCTAAATCCCACATTCAACGCACTTGGAAGATTTTTAAGCTTTATGACGGGTGTTCAACCACAATCTTATAGTCACTTAAACTGAAACTACTGTTGGCTATATTGGTTTAAGTCGTACTGGGAGAAAGGTCATAAACAAAATACTGGCTAGATACACATTCTAATGAAGTTATATGTAAGCATATTTATTATATATTATGTTATAAATTGTATTTTCTGTCGTATGAGAATATACCTATTTTATATTTTAATGTACTGTTTTGAATTCTTTCATCTATTATCCTCACAGATATATGCAAATCCTGATTTTCCTCAAAACATTGAGGCCTGTAAGTATAGATACAATATGTATTTTAAAAGGCTAATCTTAAAAATTAGTTACTATCATGATTCAATATGATTCATGCACTGATTTTTGTTTGTTTGTTTAACTGGATTACCAAAAGGCTCAGACTTGCTTCCTGGAAGAGAACAGTTTATGAATTTTTTTTCTCCGCACTTCTTCAAAACTATCTGAACTAGCTGGGCGTAGTGGTGAATGCCTGTAATCCCAGCACTCCAGAGGCTGAGGCAGGAGGATTGTTGTGAGTTCAAGACCAGCCTGGGCTACAAAGTGAGCTCAAGGCCAGCCTGAACTGCACAGTGAAACCCAGTCTCAAAAAAGACAAGGAAAGAAAAAAAACTGAAACAAAACTATCTGAACTAATATGTAAATTTTCATTGAATATTAAAATACAATTTTATATCCAGTTGCCAGGTAATACTTCATTGTCATAGTTATCTGGGAGAAATTTTCTGATTAAGGTACAATTCTTATATCCAACGATGTTATTCCACATTGCATTTAAGCTATCAGGAATATTTTAAAAATATATTTTATTCAGAGAGATTTGTCCAGAGTTTTGTGTTCATGGATTGTGTACATATTTTTTATATCATCTATGTTTGTTTCATACAAATATCAACAAATACTTGATAGTAATGGATTATTATATGCTTCTTCTATTGCCGTTTTAAGAATGCTATTGCCATAAGCAAAGTATATAAAAGAACCAGTAAATTAAAATACCAGCACCCTCTGGACTTCAAAGGAGTTACATTTTAATTTTGTCGTGCTGGGGAGGGATAGGTATGTATTATGATCCATAAACTTCAAACCCACCCCTGGGCCTAAACAACAATTAAGAACAATCCCTTTGAACCTCCAAAGGGTGGAGTCCGTGCATTTACTTTAGATCAAGACACAGCATTTTAAGACTAAACTAAAAGGTGCATTTCTCCCGCCCCTGAAACATTGAGTGCTGACAGTATAATAAACCCTCAAGATCCATCAACTTCTTGGCTGATGACGTTCATCAAGTCAACAAATGCACATAAACTTAAAATCCCTAACACCCAAGAGGTTGGGCCCTTGGTCGGCAAGTCAAGCACTGACTAAAGTAACCTTGAGGGATTCCCAAATATGAATCACAGCAAATCACCCGACGACAATGGTGCTGACATAACTCTTCCAGCTGCAAATCTCCCATTCAACACTATATTGCTTCAAATCAGCATCCCTAAGAGGCCTATTTCCAGTCCCCACCATAATATTTACAGTTCAAGTGGTTTTTTGATTAAATCACACTTTTAAAAAAAAGTTTAACTGATACATAAAATTGTACATAGTCATGGAGTAGCGTGTGATGTTTCTATACATGGATACTTGTGTGATGTTCAAATCAGGGTAAACTGATCTTCTGGGACATTTGTCATTTCTTGACAGTGAAACTTATGAAAATTTTCATAAAATGTACAATACGTTATCACTATCTATTGTCATTCTACTGGGCAATAGAACATCAGCACTTCTTTCTCCTATATAATTATAACAATACTAATTAATCAACCTTTTCCTAGCTCTCCTTTCCCTCTAGATCACACTTCTTTCCAAAAAGAAATTGAAGCAACTTGTACAAAATTGCATTACCATAGTTCTGGTAACTATAGGAAATACACCTGAGCAAGCAAGAGCACCTATTCACTGTTGTAGAGACTGATTGCAGTCTTTTGAGTTTGAGATAAGCCTTCAGCTTCCTAATAAACAAAAATGGGAAGAATCAACGACAGCTTTAATATCAGAAGCAAAAGGCACAGAAGTCCTCGACAATAGTAAGAGTTTCCTGACGCAACTTTTGGAAATAAATTTCTCGTATGGGTGTGGCTTAACATATAGGACAGTGGGCATTGTAACAGACAATCTCTTCAATTACAAGAAATGTCTTTGTTGGGTGTCTACAATATTCACTCCTTCCTACAGCAATTATTTGTTAGTCACTGATGATGTATGAGACAGTCCTAGGGAAACAATAGAAACCAGGATGAACAAAGGTCTTGCTCTCTTGGAGCTTAATTCCAGCGAGAATCCTGGGAGGGAGGACACAAAGTTAAGAAGTAAGTGACCCACATAAGGTCAGATAATGGTGAGTGAAGAAAACAAAGGAGTAAAGTGCTAGAGAATGAGGGAGGAGAGGACCATTGTAGATGGGATGGACCAAGAAGGTCTCCCTGGAGAAGTGACTGCAAGTAAGAGCTGAATGACAGAAATGCACATGCCAAGCGCAGAGGTGGAGGCAGAACACCGCAGATGCAAAGACCCCGAGAGCAGGTCCAGCTCGGCTTGTTGCAGGAACATACTGAAGACGAGTATAGCTGGAGCATACAGGAGGAGAATATGAACAGGACGGTGTGGGAGAGCAGGCTGAGACAAGCACATAAAGACCTGGAAAACCAAAGTAAGGATTCAGGATTGCCGTCTAATAGCAAGGTATTGACAGCCAGGGGATGGTATTATCTGACAAATCGGAAAGATCTATCTGCTGCTGGAGAAAGAATTGATCACAAATGTCCAAGGGGGAAAACAAGAGGACCTGAACAGGACTAGAATAGTTTAGGCACAGAGCCAACTTGCCCATTAGACTGGATATGGGGAGCGGAACATTGGGCAATTAAGTAGATGGTGCTATTTGCTGAATGGCGATGACTATGGGCGTGATATTTGAAGGGAAAGCCAAGAGTTCTTTGTGGTCGTATTGGTTTGGGCTGCCCCAGTGAGCATCTAAGTGAAAATTTCAGTAGGAAGTCTAGATTATAAGAACAAAATTCATTACTGAGCTGGGGCTGGAGCCACAGATATAGGAATCATGGGGGGGAAAATGGAATTTAAAACCATGGAACCAGATGAGATATATTATGGAAGGAGAGAACCAAGGACCAAAACATAAGTCCTGCGACATTTAGAAATCTAACAGAGAGAAATGTACCAAAAAGGACAAGTGAGGAGGAATGGTTAGAAACTAAGAAGAAAATCAGAGAATGTGGTGGCACACAACAGCCAAAAGAATATGGGTTTGCAAAGATCAAGGCGAGCAGATACTGCTGAAAGATAGGAAAGCACCAAGACACATGAAGGGCCGCTGGGTTTGGCATCATGGATGTGATCAGTAGCCTTGAAAACACCATTTCTACCAGTTTTGGGGGACAGAGATTGACCCAAGTAGCTTTGGGAAAGACTGGAAGGTGGTAGGGTAGAGACTATGGCCAACGTGGGTATGAAAGGACCAGAGAAATGAGCTAGCAGCTAAAGAGGGGCAGAACATGAGCAGAAAGTTTTTCCTTTGATGAATGTGGGAACTATTGTAACCTTTTTACTAGCTGGGGAAGAAATATCCTGTAGAGAGAGGGAGCTGGTAACACAGGGAAAGGAGATACCTGTAAGAGCTAAGTCCTTGAGAAGGTGAGAAAGGGTAGCACATCATCTGCAGTAACAGTGTGAAAGCAAAACATACAGCTACAGCCCCCTGTAAGTTGGTGGATTCAGTGGAAGGAATAGACAAAGGTCCCATCTGGATTGCTTCTAGTTTCTCAGGAACCACAGCCCATAGTGCAAAGGAAGATGGGCAATGAGGAAGCAGTGTTTTTGGAAGATTGAAGAAAGAGGAGAACGTATGAAAAAGTTAATATTTTCCAGTCTTACAACCCAAGAATATCAACTTGTTGTGCCCGATCTAAGAAATACCCAGTGTTACTCTGAGAGCATGAAGATAATCTCTCAACACATATCTTTCTACAACAAATGGACCAGCTCATGCAAGGATCCCCAGTATCTAAACCACCAAACAGCAAACACTTCGTTTGTGTTCCAGAGCTAAAGCACCACATTTCACCCTTCTGGGAGTGTGTATCCTCCACACTGCTATATTTCTATATTATACCTAAAATTTATTGAAACATTACTATGTGACAAGCACTATGCTTAGTTCTTTATGTGTTACATCTTTTAATATGCTAAGCAATTAAATGAGCAGTTTGCACTATTATTATCCCAGTTTTATAAACAATGAAGCTAAAGCTTTCATGGCTAAATTATACTAGTATTAGAGCTTATGAAGTCCATGACAGGAGGACAGAGAGCAATTAGCAATTAAGCCATGTGGTTATGAAAGAAGCTGCGTAAATAGTTGTAAAACCATAACCTAGTAAGGCATTCCCGCTTGTAAATAGTTTATCCATATAGGAAAAAACTGTAAAGCCAAGATATAAGTAAAATGACTTATAAATGATTTACTATAGAAAATTAAGATACTCAGTAAGTCCCAGTTGAGAAAGGGGAATTTAAAAAGCCCTCTTGACAGCCAGTGGTGTACTGATACATTGCTGAACAGGTGGCTTTTTCGGTTGGTGGCAGAGGGGTGTGTGTACGCTGATTCACAGTAATTGCCCATTTCCACGGTCCACCATAGAGTGCAAGGTACCGGTGTGACATCAGCCAAAAATTCTTGAAACTCTACCACTCGTCTGTGACTCAGCTCCAGCACATTATTGGGAGTAGTTAGAATGAACCTTTCTGGTACCACCAGGTCGTGTGTTCCTTGGGGTGTGTAGCAAGGATAACTTTAGGATGGTCGAACTTCAGTTGGTCTGAGGTTAGAGCCCTCTCCCTTCCTATGGGCCAAGTGAATCAAATCAAATAGAAACTCCAAGCATGAATTGTACTGATCCTAATGTATTATTGATATTAGAATCAAGAATAGATTTGATAGTCTTGTTTCAGTCCATGCATTTTGCTTGTACTCTTTTTCTCAAAGCATTGAAAACATTACATGAATAAGATCTAATCAGATATTATAACAAACCAAAAAATTCTACATACAAGTTCCCAGAGTGGTCACTTCCTGTGTGATTTTAGGCCCATGTTCTTAAACAGTAGTTTTACATAACTTCCCCAGCTAAGCTCCTGAGAAGTTGGTGTTGATTTATGACAGCATACAAGGGATTGAGTTTTCTCTATGAAAATAATTTGTGTGTAGAGATTTAGCTTCATGCCATTTAAACAAAGGATTCATTGACCTTCTAGTTTCCAGTTTAGGAGTGGTAATGCTCACCAAAGTGGCACATTCATAAAGTCATGAGTGATTGCTCCGTGAACTTTCAAAACTATGTCTTTCTGGTTTCATGGGCGATGCATGTCAGAACAGGCCCGGCTTAGATTCCAGGTTTGAAACAAACCTCTAAGGTAGAACCTTCTTCAGACTTAAGGCCTAGTTTTTT